ATTCCCAAGTCCAGACTTAGAGAAAAAATCATTCAAAACGAGACAGCTCTCGTTACAAATTTGGTTCAGCAAAAGCCAAAACAAGCAGAGTTTGAGTTTTTTTCACAAATATGAAAACCTCAACAAATTTGTGAAGAGCCCTGATCAAACAGAACAGGTACCACAGTGCAGTTCCAACTCAGTAAGTCTTCAAGTTCAGCCACTTTTGCCCCTTGTAGATTGAAGAGGCCGCAGTTCTGCCCGTTCAAAAGCTTTTCAGGGCTTGAAATAGATTAAGGCTCTGCCAAAACTAAACGTTGGTATCAATTTACAGCTGAAACCTAGCAATTGGAGTTGCTGACAGTCCAGTCCAGCAGAAACATACCCAGTCCAGCTTGGATCAGAAGCTTCTACCCAGACAGAAATGGAGTTCCAACTTTCTTTTTTGGTTTTTTAGAGTTGATTTCTTCCTTTATAGCTTTGTAAAAGGTAGTTCTGTCTAAAACGAATACCTTTCATGTAACACCCCGACCCCAAATTTATCCCACGTTTAATTAATTTAAGTGGAATGGAGAAATTACCCGTGGGATAAGGGTATTTTGGTCATTTTCTTACTCGGAAGGAATTTGGGAATTCCGGTTGTACCGTTGCGTAGAGCACGGTGAGATGAGTTCGTAGACACGTAGTGGGCTCGAATCGGAGTTGTAACGAGAGAGATATGATCAAATGAAGCTCAGTGGCATAATCGTAAATATTTGGAAAATGGATTTTTGGTTAAAAGACGGAAATGCCCCCGTCTGTCTCTCTCTCTCTCTCCCGCGCGTCTCTCCTTCTCTCTCCTCTGGTTCGCGACGCCACCGCAGCCGGCCACATTTTGTCCGGCCGTTCGTTCATTCGACCACCACTCGGGTCGAGACCGGTCCCAAAATAACCGGCCTGACTCCGTCGTCCTACCCCACCCATTCTCCGACGTCAGCCGGGTGCGTTCCGACGTATGAGGGGAGATATGATTGCGTGAGGGCTGGTGAGAATGTAGCAAGGCCCAGTGTGAGGTCGCACGCGTCTTTGGATTAGCCGGCGTGTTGACAGACCCCATAAGTGGCCGAGTGCGTCCCGACGTATGAGGGGAGATATGATTGTGTGAGGGCTGGTTAGAATGTAGCCAGGCCCAGTGTGAGGTCGCATGCATCTTTGGATTAGCCGGCGTGTTGACAGGCCCCATACGAGGCCGGGTGCGTCCCGTCGTATGAGAGGTGATATTGTGATTGTGTTTGGTGAGTTGTGATGGATAAATCCTAGGATGTATGAATTTGTATGGCCGTAATGATTTATTTGATATTAGGAGCCAAGATAGATATGAAAGAGCTACGTGTGGCTTGATCCCTTAGTAGGGTACGTAGGCAGCCTGAAGTTACTAGGTGCAGCCACAGATTAGACCCCACTTAGGTGGTCTTATTGAGATTGGTTTGGACCTTGTTGTTGGTCCTGAAACTTGGTTGAATTGAGGTTTGTCCTGTGGACTAAGTGAGTGAAGGTGTGCATGAATAGATTTTGAATTTGTAATATGCATGTTTGTTGTATTAAGTTATTTTAAAAACTTTGTGGGCAGTTTTGTTAGAATCATTTGAAGGCCGGAGGCCATTTGTGTAAATTGCATGAGATTATATTGTGCATGCTACCGGTTGGGTTATAAAATGTGTTTTATGTAGGTAGAAATTTTGGGAAAATGTTCAATTTACAGGGGAGACTCTGCCGAAATTTTGGCAGAAAGTCTCGTGCCCTTAATCCTCTCTGGTAAACGAGGACATAGATTTAAAGAGTGAACTCGGCGTAGGTGTGATGCCGGGGTCTTCGCAGGGTTCGTCTCGGGTTCCGGGAAATTCAGGACGGGTCCTGTCACGATTCACTTTATCATCCATTACTTTGGTCAGAATTACCAATTTCATACTGAGATAGATTGTGAAGTCCTCACCAGTTTGAGGCAAGAAAAGAACTTACTTGGGAAATATTCCTCACCCAAATTCACAATCACTTGTTTAGAAATCAGTAACTTGGGGCGCAAGTTATCTATTTTTAAGAAGTCTGCTAGGATTATTTGCTAGCAGTGGCACGCTCGCACACCAAAGAAAGTTGACTTGCTGACCACTCAACGGTTTTCAAGCCAATGGGGAACTTTGCCCTTCCATCTCAGGAATAAACACAAAACGGGTGAACAACAGGGTTTCAACTTTCTACCATGCGTCTAGGAATGAGCTGTCCAATCAAGGGACTACCGCTCTACAACACACACGCCAGAAAATCCAATGCCACGTCTTGAAACACCCTACAATACCTTTACAAATACGTTCACTACACCTAAGGGAGCATTTTTGGTTCTTGGACCACGACCAAAAAATGGTCGGAAATGGGTGAAAAAGGGCCAAAATTGTCGGCCTAATATAAGTAGGTAAATCATTCTCCAAAACTACAAAATTAACCCAAACTAAGTACATAAACAGGTAGAGCATGATGAGGGGATGAATTTTCATACCTCACTGGATTTGGTTGTCGGAATCGCTGTAAAATTAAAGAACATAGAAAAACCTAACCTTTTTTTCTCAGCTTCGAATCGTGCTCACCATCAACAAATCGAAATGGGTTTTGGTGGGATTTGTAGAGGTGGATGAGAGGAACATTTTTCGTGAAGCTGGCATGGCCAACCGGTGTACGACGGCGTCATTTGGTGGCCTAGAAGTCGAACAATCACTGTTGCAAATGACAAAAGAAGAGGGGGGGGGGGGGGGGGGGGGGGGGGAAGAGAACGAGAAGATAAAGAGAATTGGCCTAGTTATTGTAGCAACGGTATTGTTTGCTACGGTAACAAATTTCAAAATTCTCTTTTTGGCCTTTCTGTTTCTAGACCTTTACGCGATTGTTACAATTAGGAATTAAGCGTGCCACCTGTCTATGAACTCGTATCGACGAGCTCTACACAATGGTGCCACTCATCAAAATCCTTTCGGAACAGAAAGTGACTAAAGTGTCCTTACCACCCAAGGGCAAAATTATAATTTCACAAATAGATAAATTGAATAAAACGATTAAATTGGGTCGGGAGTGTTACAAGAGTGGTGTGGCTGGCAGCGGTGGTGGCGCAGTTGGCTAGGGAGAGAGAGAGATGGAGAGTTTTGTGTATTTTCTCATGTTTTAGAATTACCTTGAATGTTTGGTATAGCCGTGTATTTATAAGCTCCTTGCGTGCTAGGGTTTTGCAAAGAAACTCTTATTAGAAAAGAGTTTATTCTTTCCCCAAATTGTAGAGATTGAGTCCATTATGGATTTGATTAGGATCAAAATTGGGATCAAATCTCCTAATTTGATGATAATATCTCCAAATAAGGATAATATCTTAATTAGTGATATTATCTTTTCAAATAAAGATAATATCCCTATTTTTGGTGTCAAATATCTTTCCAAATAAATAACTTAATTAATTTAACCTAGGAGATATTCTTCTTGTGAAATTACCTACAGGATGACTAAAAATGCCTAGAGGGGGGTGGATAGGCTAATTTAAGATTATAATCAATAAATAAAAATAAACTTTGGTGCAGGATTGATATGGCTTATCAGTCCTAAAATGTGCAGAGCATAAAGTAAAAGAACACACAAGAATTATTTTATATGGGAAAACCCCATCTCTGGGGAAAATCTACAGGACTCCTCAGTTCAAAATAAATCCACTATATAATGATGATTACAAGAAGTACTCACACACTTATCCTAGACGCAATCTAAATAATGTTTACCGACTTCTTCGTAACCCAACTTATGTTGCAGAATGATCTTTCGACACTCCTTGTGTTGAATACAATACTGGTCACGATTGCTTCAAACTCACCGGAGACAAACCGCCAAAATAGTTTTGGTGCCCTCAGTCGTATGAGTCACAGAACATGTAAATGAATGCAATATGAATGATGAAAGTATTTGATAAATCACCAAGTAAACATGGAACACTTGATAACTTATCTCAACTATATGCACAATAGCTTTTGTTGAGAAATTTAGATGATCAATCAAAACATATGAAAGCTACGTAAAAAATCAAGAAGTCACGCCATGTCTTTATATAGACATATTCTCCTTTTACCAAGGGAATTGCTTAAAGCCAAGAGATCAAATATTGCCTAAAGAGATTTGATTCTTTTAAACAATCATGCCAGCTTATGCATGCTTTTCAATAACTTCCAATCCCATCAATTTATATAAGGAAACAATATAAACCAAGATGAAAACATTGAAACCAAATAGGACGTGCTCTTCAATAAGTTAAAGATGAAAAAGTATATTTTATCTTTAAATCAAAATAAGGTCTAAATAGGAAAATAATCTCAAGAGATAAAATCTAATCCTATTGAAAAGAGAACTAATATAAACATTTGAGTGAAAATAACTCCAGAGGAATCCTATAATGAATGCATGATTATGTCATGATTTACCTGAAAATCAAGTTTCTTATATCGATCCAGCCATACTTTGAAAATCCGGAATTGAATGTGTTGTGCCAAAACTTCCAGTAAAACGTATTCACACACTAATTCCCGACTTATGCTAGAGTTTAGGAAATGCCAATACAATTTTCATACTAACATCTTGTCCACATAGCATCTCTTGATTGGAGACTAAAATGTTTGATCCCACAAGTTTTCAAAACAAAAACTCAACATTGAAAACAAAATGGTTACCAAAATTAGAGGAAGAGACTAAGACTTAGAGTGAAGCAATGAAAAAGAGATGAGCGATGGCATCAGGCATCTTAGGCTATTAAATTGGATTAGGACTTTGTTGATATTCGTTTTGCACAAGTACAGTGTTCAAGTAGAGCCAAAGAAAGTCGAGCGGGTCCTTTTTTTTGTCAAAGCAGGTCCATTTGGCTGAGATGAATTCCAAGATTTTATTCGGTTTCTCAAAGATCCATATTGTAAAGAAAATGAGTCGAAATTACTTATTTTTAATACATTATGATATGAAAGGCTTGCTTGAATTAATTTTAAAACTTCCATCAACATATAGTTACTCTTAATGGAGATTTTCATTGATACACAGTATGATATGAGTACTAGTACAAAGATAAGCCTTATAATCCTAATTATTTATGATTGAGAGTTTTATTAACAACTCAACCAATACATTACATTAACCTTTATTGACAAAACAAACTCTTAATTATTACCACATGGTACCCGCAATATCCACTGAAAAAGGGTTTATTTATTTAATTCCCAGTTTCAGTCTCAGCAACACCAAGTCCTGGTTTTTCATGGTGCCCTTGGCTGTGCCTATACTCTCCCGGGACCGGGTGCTGGGGGACCATGCCCTCTCGGTTTAGGTAGGCATTTAGAATACGGATTACGACCGCAACTGATGGCTGGCCCGGGTTTTAAGGCTCTACCCCCTGAAATAAGATTAATCTATATATATAAGTCATCCTTTATATATATAAAAAATTATATCAGGTGACAAGTATGGGGTTATGTGACATAGTTTGTCTTTAAGGTGATTTTAATGTTTGCCGAAATTTTTTAGTTTGTATTATTTGTAAGGATAATACAACACCCACGAAGAAAATAATATGAGTTGAGTAACATGAGTAGAGGTCATAAATATGAACATCCACATATACCCACACATAGATATATTTTCACAGATCGGTGGAATAAAAAATATAAACATACATCTGAGTTAAAAAAAAAACAAATTAGAAACTCACCAATAGTGGTTGCTGGCTTCGTAATTTCCACTAGCTCACGAGCTGAGACCTCAGAGGAGATGAGGATCACAAGAGCAAACATAAAGCCAAGAAGCAGAAAAGTCTTGGAGGATGATGCCATGTTTTTCTTAACAACACAATTAACGTGAAGACAAGATTGTTGAGTGAACTTAATGTGGCTTGGCCTCAACCAATTTATAGACCCTTGAGGATAGATTGGGGTGGTGGGGGAAGAGAGGGAGAAATGAGAATTTCTGTGGACATCGTTGAACTGAAGACGCGTAAAGGAGAGGAACACTTGAAACCTAGTTGATCACATTTTGTCGAGTTAATTTGACAATTAATTGGAAGGGAAGTACTATTCTCTTGTATACTTTTCATACAAAAGCCAAGAGAACTCTGGGGAAGCAATGCGCTGGTTGCTGCTTCTGTCTACGTCCATCAATTTCCTTCCATTAAGGCTTCAAGTAACGCACAAGGCAAGATATGTGACTCCAAAGACTATCAAGTCTTCGTATGAAAAGTCATGTTGGACCACATATGTCCGGACGTTGATTTCTTCTTTTTTGCTTTTCCAAATTTTAGAGTCTACAAAAGACTTACTTTGAAGTCTTTGCATGCTCATTCAGATTTAGCTTACTAGTGGACCGTTTATTTTCTTTCCTTCATTTTCTTTCCGACATGTATTTTTTATTATCCCTCCCAACTTTCCTCCACGTTTACAATGGCGCCCAGACGTTCGCATAAGAAAACAACTATATATGCTAACACAGTTTATTTTAATCTTATATTTATTTAAGATTGATTTACTTTATCTTTGTGTGTTTTAAAAAAAATATACTACTATATCACTTGTTTATCTGGTAAAGAAAATAATATAAAACTTGTGCTCTTTACACAGGTTAATTTTCGTCATTTAGCAAAACCATGACCAGGCCTTACCGCGTTGTTTTTATGCTATGTGTATGAGTTCCTAAGTTGTAGCATGAAGTCGCTTCATTGCGTGTGCACTGGGGTGTGGTCGTGGGTTGTTAGGTTTTGGTTAACTAAATTTTTAGTTTTCCTGGGCAAACATGTAAATTTGATTTAAATTTTTTTTCCACTTAATCAAGCTCAAGAAGCTAGACTAATCTAGGATAGCGCTAAGATAATCTAGTATGGCTGAGATCAACTTCATGATGGATTCATGCTCTCAAAGCTCATTGAAGGTAATTCATCTTTGATTGCATTGCATGTATTGTAGTGTTCTCTTTTGCATGACTAGTCATCATTGTTTGTCACGTGTTACTTCCACATCATTTATTTTTCACGTGAGCTTGCCTCTGTTGCCAGCTGTAGTTTTTCTATCTTAACCATTTTTGTCCAATTCTAGCTCTTATCATTAGCTCACAGGTGTCTTTATTTTGTGATGCCCTAATTTATCAAAAGTGTGGCTAATGGTAGAGATCATCCAACACTTTCACTTCTGGACTGTTGATGAGAGGCATCTTTTAGCTCTTCCATTTTCTCTGTGAGAGCGTTCATGGTTTTTAAAATGAGGTTTACAAATAGCTTTTGAAATTTGTTTCTATTTTTGAAACGGACTTCACCCATTAAGAATTTTTTGATAAAAAAACTTTTACATGCATTTTCCACTTGGTGAGGCCATGGTTTTCGAATTTAGATTTCCGTATTGCTTTGAAATCTGCTTCTGTTCTTCAAAATCTGCATCTAGCATTTCATACACTTCATATGTTCAGATCCAAATTAGATTATCTAATCTTCCTTCTCTCTCTTCCTCGATTCCTGTAAAAAAAACCAGAGTAAATTGACCACACTAGGGAGTGTTGGCCTAAATTGACCACATCAGGGAGTGTTGGCCATAGGCCATCCGATGCCTAAGTTAGGTCGATTGAATCTAGGATAAACAATAGCTAAAAATAGGATACGGAGATGTATTTATGGTGAGAACTAGGCGGCCAAAGCCGTGTATCACTACTACATTTTACTTTTTACGCGACGACAGAAAATTCGTCGCGCAAAATACACTTCAGCGACGGAAAAAAATATTCGTCGCGCAAACCACCAAAATCTTGCGCGACCAAAAATTTCGTTGCGCATAAAAAACATAGTTGTGGTGCAAAGTGAGGAAGAAAAAGACGGCTTTATTTTTTTGGCGCCAAACACTTGCGAGACGACAAATATCGTCGCGAAAGAAAACCTAGCGCGACGGTTGCCTTTTTCATCGCGTAAAGGTAGATAGAAAACAGCGGGTTTTGTTATTTGGCGGCAAACAGTTGTGCGAGAACAAGCTTTATTGTCGCGTAAGAAAAACGTGGAATATTTTTTTTGGCGCCAAATACTTGCACGATAGAAATATAATTCGTCGCATAAAGTTTGATGTCGGCACGTTCATGCGCGATGAAATTTTGTGCAACAAATCCAATTCTTCGTCGCACAAAAGTGGGATGTCGACACGTACTTGTGCGACGAAAAAGTTATTTTGTGCGACGAAATGGACCACTTTTGCGACGTAAAAGTGGTTTTGTGCGACGGTAATTTGCTCAATGAAAAAATAGATTCATCGCACAAAAGCCTTCTTCTTCATATCTGGATTATGCCATTATAGAGGCAGAACGCCAAAAAAAAAACTCTGCCTCTCTCTGCCTCTGCCTCTGCTGGGAATTCAGTACGTTCATTGGGTAAATATTTTTTGTCGTTAATTTAAAAGTGTTAATGTAAATTCACACTAACGCTATTAATTTCATTCTCGTTAGGGATATTTGTAATTAGCGATTGGTGGGGAACGATTGACAATGTATTTTCTTCATTTTATATTTAAAAAATATTAAATTAATTACATTAAGTTAAACTTAGTTTGTTATGTTTATTATTTTTTTGTGAAATTATATTTATATTATGTTGTTAAATTGTGCTTGACGTAGCACAATGTGTTGTGATGTACAAAGTTAATTGAAATTAACTTCGCACTTTTATTTTTATTTTTAGTAACACTTAGTTTCCCGTTCGAGATTAGTTGGATTTCGTGCATGGATGCATAAAGCATGACTAGGGTCCAATTAATTCTTGAATTGTCCCATTATTTGGACAATTTGGGAATGCATAGTCATGTCACGTAATGTACGGCTACAAGATTAGGTTTCGATTGTGGAGATTTCGCTGTTATCTCTGTACATTCTTCGGGTGGTACGTGGGTATTTATACCCACGGTACACCTCAAGAACTATATCAAGATGCTGCCGAAATTCATCCACGTTGAAATCTAATCTCATGTAGCCGTAAATTACGTGACATGACTATGCATTCCCGAATGGGATAGGGCCCTTATCGGAGGCATAAGGTAACATTATGACTTCGTATGAAGTTGTTGTGATTATGGTTCTAGGAATTATGAGCAGAAGGTGGATACAGAACCCGAATAGATGTGCAGACGAATACTTGGACGAAATCGAGGATTTTATTGAGTTTGCACGTACACACAACCCATGTGCAATTAGAATTCGTTGTCCTTGTAGGAGGTATAACAACACGTTGTGGGAGACAATTGAAAATGTTGGATTTCATTTAGGATGATTTGTTCAGTTTTACTATCTGTTCAGTTTTATTAATTTATTTATTTGTTCAGTTTTACTATCTGTTCACTCACTGACATTCTCACTCTCACTTTTAGGATGATTTGAAAAAACAAGTCTCCGAGGGCACTCTGACTGTCTCTGGGAGCAACGATGTTTTGACCATGGCTTTGGGAACACCTGAGCATGGTGGGAGGGTCAGAGGTGTTGGAGCTGGGGTTTCCCCAACTCAATTCTTCAATTTGCCGAGACAGCAGAGAGTAAAATTTGATGACAAATTGAATGAAAGTGTTATGGCAGCAGTGAGAGAGGAAACCAAAAAGATGGAGGCTAGGGCAAAGGAAAGTGTTATGGAGGCAGTCAGAGTAGAGAGGGAAATTATGTTGAAACAATTTAGTCAACTAATTCCCAACTTTGATCCCAACATGCTCAGTAAAATTCCAACTACACCAACTACACCAATTACTCCAATTCCTCCAATTCCTCAAGAGCAAAGCCCAAAAAATCCAATGTCTGACAAAGCAAGCTGCTCTAATGTGAGAGCCCCTGAATTGGATGAAGACAATCCCATGAATGATGTTGATGCTGATGCTGCTGAAAACCGTGAAGATCAAACGGTAAAATCTCTGACATTTGCTTTTTCTGAATTTTAAATTTGAAATACATGTCGGTATTTATTTTAAAACCCGTCGTCTAGTTTAACCTAGATGACCTTTCTATTGTGTACCGACATTATAACTTTTACACAACGACTGTTATGTATTTACCATCGTCTATAACCTTTACCCTGTCAATATGTTTTAGAAACCGTCGTTGATATTATATACCACGTCGATTTTGTTGATTTGTTGGAGTCATTTATTTTACTTCATGAACACACTAACTTTTATTTCTTTATTTATTTCTTGTTACAGGATCTGTCAAAGCTTGACATGCCAGCTCCTCTGTTAGCCCTATGCCAATATGTCGAGACCAAGTTGACTGCTAACGAGACCATTACAGTTCACATGCCTGAGGAAATGTTTGGCACTGATCATGATACCTGGCTCTTGAGTGAAGACATTTTACAGTTTGCTTCCATGGTTGAGATTAGAGCCACAATGATTGCAGTATACATGAGGTAATTCTAGAAATCCAATTTTGTTTTTTTTTTTTTACATTTTCTTTCTTTTAAATTAAAATTTCATTTAATTGAATTTCATATATTTAATTAGGTACCTATTTGACTATTTAAAAATGGCAAATATGGTAAAACTTGTTGGCCTCGTGGACCCTGGACAAGTCAGCTCTCAATCTGGAACGTTATCTCACTGCTCAAAACATCTCTCAGAAAGCCTGAAAAAAGGCAGATGGGGATCAATTTTACTTGGTGCCTTATAATCCAGGGTTAGTCCCCTTCTACACTTAATTGGTTCCTTGTAATATATTTCTTTGTAGTATATTTAATATATATGTATAATTTTGTGTAGGGGTCATTGGGTGTTAAAAATGGTGAGACCTAAGGAGACTGTCTATTATATGAATTCATTACCAAACCGCTCTGTTGACGAGGACATGAGAAATATAGTGAATACGTAGGTTTCTTAATGAAAACCTATGATTTTTTATATCTACATTTGATTGATACGACAGCTTTTTCCAATACCGACGTTGTAGTGAAAACACACGACGATATATTATAACCGACGTTTTGAATCATTTACAACGTCAGTATTTTCTTGAAAT